CTGATTAAGATGAGCTTACATCCTTTTATTGCTCTAAATTCTTTTTCTTTTGACTCTGTTTTTTTTTTGCTTGGATTTTTTTCTCCAAATTGTCAGTCAGTCAAGGATGCTGCCATTGAAGTKTACAAGAAAGCAACTAAGAAAGACATTGAAATTATTTTTGATGAGCAAAACTTTCTGGGCCAAGACTGGTAAGTGGGATACACGTAGGTTATGTAACCACAATAATTACAAATATTACACAAAAGACTGGAAATTGTATTTCTTAAAATTGATATTAAATAATTAAGAGGACTTTTTTTAAATTTCAGTTCTGGTGGGATTGAAATGCTTTCTAAAGGAGGCAAAATTAAAGTGGTGAATACTCTTGAGAGCAGACTAGAAATGATGAGTAGACAGGTTTGTACACATGCCAACTGCACACCCATCTAGCCAAAACCACCTTTCCACCCACCTAATCCATCCTCCCATCCACCTGGCCACCCATTCATTCATTAATCCAACCAGCCATTTGTTTATGCCAAACCATTCATTCATTCATTCATCCATCCAGCCATTTGTTTATGCCCACCCATTCATTCATTCATCCATCAAGCCATTTGTTTATGCCCACCCATTCATTCATTAATTTATCCAGCCATTGTTTATACCCACCCATTCATTCATTCATCCATCCAGCCATTTGTTTATGCCCACCCATTCATTCATCCATCCAGCCATTGTTTATACCCACCCATTCATTCATCCATCCAGCCATTGTTTATACCCACCCATTCATTCATTCATCCATCCAGCCATTTTTTTATCAACCCTTGTCCCATTACCCACCCTATACTTCTATCTATCCATCCATTAATTTACTCATCTATCCAACCACCCATGCTTTCACCAACCCATCTATTTATCCATGGAAAATATATTTCTAGGGGATGGAGATGTAGAGTTTTACAGAACCATGAAACTTAATTGTATAATATAATGAAAAGTTGCCTGATCAGCCTGCRTGATATTAATGTCTTTTATTTATTGTTTTTATAAAGATGATGCCRGAGATCAGAGTGATGTTGTTTGGACGCAACAAGGGCAGACATTTCATGGACTAATGACAGACTACATCGGTGAAGCATAATAATAATATAGGGTACTGTATATTGCATACAYGATGAAATTATTTGAAATTTTATTAATTGATGGAAATTTTGCTGGTAAAAAATCACCCAAAATAGTCAGTAACATCATCAGTCATTACAATAACAGCAACATTTATGCGATTACGCATGCTATATTGTATATGGCAKGGTACATAACCAATTTCAGTGCTAGGGTAACTGCTAATTAAAGTTCTTCTAAACTTAAAACAATTATTCTCCTGTTTCCTCTAGTTACTAGAGGTGACTATTAACTAGTATGTTATTCCTATAGAGGTAGAGACTGTTACATAACAACCTTACATTCAAAAGGCTATAACAGACTCTGCTGTGTGCTTGTCATTACCCCACTTATATGAAAACTAGCCTTATCTTAACAGTTTTTTATTCTATAGAAAGAAAATTATCAATTTTAGACGCTCTTGTTCAGTATTGTACTTTGTCAATTTAAACCTGCATGTAATGATTTTTAATATTGTAAGTCATTAAATATGTTTCTGGAGGTTTAGGTTATGAGGTTTGAATCAATAAATAATTATTATAATCATTAAAGATACTTATAAATAGATATCCATTCCTAATGTTTTGTCCTAAATTAATGATAATCATTTCTGGAGTAAAGAAAATAAAATTCCAAAGATGTACCATATAATTGAATAAAAGTTKAAAAGATCTCTGTGAGTATGCTTAGCACATTCCTGGATTTATTAGTCCTTTAGTTGTTAAATATCAAATGTATAAATGTCCCAGCTGAACACTTGCATCCCTTGCAAAAGGTTTTGATTATTTCTGAGAATGTAAGACTGATAGGAAGCATCTGGTTGACATTCTTTGAAACATTGGCTTCATACAGTAATCCTCTTGCAAGCAACTCAGAGAAGTAACAAGTACTGCTTTCTCATGACAGTTTCATTCTGATGAGTAGTGCTTGTTTAACTATATATACAAAACTTAAAATGTAAGCTGTGAAATATTTTTTGAAAACTCTTCCATAACCAGATTCATTCACTTGTTACAGTGCTTCTCRATAACGAAGTAGGTTTTGGTGGACGTCAATCAATGTGTTTCCATAACATTCCATAGGCATGTTTCCCGACAGTGCTGGGAAACACTTTGATTGGCGTCCACCAAAACTATAATTTTTTCACAATTTGGTGCGTGTGATTGAGAAGCACCGTAAATGATCAGGTACAATAGCCTTTCAAAACATACAACAAATGTATCTATTATCATGGTTTATTTTCAACTTCAGAAGTTAACAAATTGAAATAATTGCCAGTAATAGCCAACATTACATTTGAAACCTTACTTCAATTCTAAAATAAATATTAGTATTCAAAATGTGTCCATTAACAATAAATTAATATGATCCATATAAAAATCCCATAAATCAGTTCATATTTCCCAGGAATCATCCATCATCATTATCATCCCTGCAGACAACATGTCTTGGTCATACCATGCAATTATTTTAACACTGTAACTTTTTAAGTAAGCAAATAAAATATATATTAAAATTCAACCTTTATTAATTCCCCTTTCAAAATTTCATCTTCTATGTACAAATGTTCAAAATAATCATTTTAAAATCTTCATTTCTTAAACCTTTAACAAACAAATGCTTTTTGCAAAACTTCCTAAGTCTTGCAGTCTAACATTTCCAGGAAACCCTTGAAAGTGTCTGAATCTTGATTTTTTTTCAATACAGTGTTAAAATTTCTTGCGACAATTCATTAAAAACTAACTGTTTTCTATTGCAACTTCCTAAAATATTATACTGCATTGTAACAATTGTGCAGTTTTAGATTAAAAAACCTAATAATGATCTATTATCAACATTTTAAATTATGTGTAGTTACAGAAAATGTCCATACCCCACCCCCACAAGGGGAATTGGAAATTCTGGAGGGGAGGGGGATYGGAGAAAGAACAAAATTACAGAGTTTGTATGGAAGAAAATTAAACGTTCCTGGGGGTAGAGGGTCCTTTTAAGTATTTCCTCCGTGGTCAAGGGTATAGATATTTTCTGGAGCTGCCCATTTCTAATATTATTGTCATCTTAAATCAAAAAACTATAGCTTCAAGAATTTTCAAAATTTACTGATATAAATACATAGGCAAATATAAATAATCTAGGTTCAAAATTTGATTTGATAAATATTTTTCTAGCAAATAATAATTATAGAATTCTAAATCTCAATTTCAAAATGTCTGATTTATCTTGTCTCTTTGTCCCAACCCATGATCCATTCAGCAACTCCTACAAAATATACAGTCTGTGCTATACCAAATAGTGGAGCTATTACTATCATCCTCGGCACAGCACCCTTGTAAAATGCTAAGACTCCTTCATTTTTGTAGATCTTGCGGRCACAGTCTATAATACCATTATAGGGTGGCTGTCCTTGAGGTCTGTTTAATAACTGGAGTCTAGTCTTGATGACGTCCATGGGATTGACAGCTAAGCATGCTGTTAGACCTAAAACATATTTAGCATAAATAATGAGTGAGTGTGTAAGAATAATCCATATAATGAAATGCAACATGGGAGTTTTACTTGGGCTACCTGTGGTCATCATCATGACCACCATCATCATGACCATCCTCACCACCACCATCATCATTATCAACATCACCATCATCACCACCATCATCACCACCATCATCATCAACATCCTCACCAGCATCATCATTATCATTATCACCATTATCAACATCATCATTCTCTTCACACCCAATATCACATAATACCGAAGTCAGTTACATGTGGTGGTCAAACTGAGGCAAGTGAAGATGTTCATCTTACCACAGGTAGCCCAGATGGATAATATATTTTGTATCTTTTCATTCAAATTATTTACCTGCTAAACAGCCAGCTCCCAGTGAATAGAACAATGGAGGTCTACCCCCTTCAGCTTGTATGCCTTTTAGGTTTAGGTAAGCAAAGATTGGGAAGTAGATGCATGAGAATGGAATGTCTCTGAAAATGAAAAGAAAAAAAAAAACGGAAATTGATTTAACTTTTTGTTATGCCATGCTAATAGCACTAATAAAAAATAGAAAGCTTAGCTAAAGACTATACATTAAAAGTTCCTAGAAAATCACTAATGAGCTTTCATTTGCATTAATTTTACTTTGTTGTTTCTACCATCAGTTTAAAGCTCAAAAATGTGTTTAACCAACRGATTTCCTAGATTGCTATGATATGCAATAGGTTCTTTCTCAAGCTCACCTTGCTAGTGTTGCTCCTAATCCTCTATAAATACCACTGATTCCTTTTGTCTGCAGTAGATCCTTAGTTATCCGTAGTGCTGATGTAGGTGCTGTTACTGATGCCGTACCGAAAGATCTAACATGCACAGAYGCTGCTGCTGAAGCACCGCTGTTGATAGTATTACTAACTGTTTGACTCCCAACTACAATACATTAATAAAAGATTATTAATATCCTATTTTTTCTAGTTTGCCAATAAAAAATAATAAGCAATAATACTAATACTAATAGTGTAGTCTGAGTGCACTACATATATCTGTGAAACAGTTACTAGCCTTGGAGTGCTTACACGTTTTTATAAACTACTGGTAATATTTAGTTGTAAAATAGCTAAGAATTTTTTTCCACAAAAATATGGCATGCACTCTAACAAAAAATAGCTTCCCTTGAATAAGGAAATTAAAATAATGATTTCATWATAAATTCACCTTGTTTTCCTGCCATCTGAAGTTGAATCTTTAACATTTCCATTGGGGTGGTGATTATAACCTGAAAGTATTAAAACAAAAAGCCATTAAGAAATAACTCTATATCTATATGCTGCAACYAGTATAAAGAGAATTCAATAGCAACTTACTTCAGTTGGGGAAAAATAAACTGTACAAGCTTAAATATGAGACATGCTTCTATAGTATTTTGGCTATTAAGTTTAGTAAAAGCATCAGACTTGATTCTGACATGGTGATGTACATACCTGACAAAGACCTGCTGTCCCACCAGCGATCATCTCTAGATGTAATGGTAAAATGTGTCTGAATGATAGACAATCAGGGGAAAAATGATTAGAACATTATGAAGGTGCTAAACAGGATGATAGAGAAAAAAGTACCTGAACGATAGACAATCAGGGGAAAAATGATTAGAATATTATGAAGGTGCTAAACAGGATGACAGAGAAAGATTATAATAAGATGTCCAGATAGGTCATCAAAGCAGTGATACTGTAGCATACGTAACAAGAGTAGGTCGCTCTGACACTACTCTGTCATGCTATTTATACACTTCTTAATCTGCCACTCTGCATGGARGCATATGCAGCAGTAGATGGAGTTTTGTCATGAGCATGCAATAAATAATGTTCAGTTAATGGGCAGTTAATGTAAATTTGAGGTCTCACGCTGTTGACTTACAATTTTCCTCCAAACATTTGTCTTAGTTGATCATTAACGGCAAGCTTGATGGCCTTTTCTGGGTTAATTAGAACAACGTTCACTCCCATGCCTAGATATTGAAAAAAAAAAAAAAAGAAATCAACAGATCTAGCCATGCAAATTTACTTATTGAAAAGTAATGATTCTAGCAATAGTTTTTATAAGAAGGTTGTGTGAAATTGTCCTGTACCTTTGTARAGTCCTCTTAGTCCTTCCGACCTAGCCACTTGAAACAGGACATCATGACTGTTGGAATAGATATGTTATAAATTATGTCAAAAAATTGTTATAAATCTCATGTTCTCATTGGTTGGGAGCATRTGTATTATGAGAGCACACAGCAAGCGTGCACACTTTCAATTTCACCATTTGTGCCTAAGATAACATAATTAGATACTTACACATTCTTGTAGAGTTTTGGTCCTCCATTAAGTTGGTTCTGTAGTCTTGTTTTACAGAGATCAAGAGGAAAAGTACAAGAAACCCCAACGACACCAGCTATAGCTCCATTCAATAACTTGGCTAGAAAACTGAAAAATAAGAAAAAATTATAACCATTATTGCAATCCTGTCACCTCAGTCATTTTATAACCACTTAAAGTGTTTAAATCAAATTATAATTTTAATATCATTTTGAGATGTTGATCAAATTATTTAGGTAATCTAGCTGGTTRTTTTGATTATTAGGTGTTCGGGGGTTTAAAATATCACAAATCAAAATCATAAAAATTTCACAAGTACACGTGTCAGCTACCCACTACAAGTGTCAACATACCGGCATTTTTAGCAACCGAATAAAAGCTTTGGTAAAGTGTACATTATAAAGGTAACTATAATTAATAGGTTATAAATGAATAGAGGAATTGATATAGGATTACCTAGGCTTTTATCTGTTTTATTKCAGTGAGAATAGAAAGGACTAGAAGAAAAAAATAGTTCCGTGGTTGAAAACTTTACTCGCTGTCATGGCGCGCGCCATGTTGAGTTACGAATAAAAAATTCTTTTCTGGCAACAAAAGTCTTTTAAATAAAACTAAAACTTGACTTACCCGTTTCTATTTTCCATTAGTCGGGGTCTTTCTTTGACGATTTTTTGTTTTCTTGGTAGAAAACCTAATAATTGAATAAATAAAGACAACGAGGGATCGTGTTYTTTGATTTCCTGACCAAACGGAAAGCCGCGCTCTCCCTCGTTGCCTTGGTAACGATTGGTGACCAATGAAAAGCCTCGTTTCCTGTGGAGGTAAATAATACATAAATATCACTAGTATTTTTACGGCACGCTGGTAGTACATGCTTAGTATGATCACGCAATGTTGAGCTTTTATATTCTTTATTTTACGAGACAAATTATTTTTGTATCCTAGATAACCAAACCTAGATCATTAATATCACAAAAACACGAATCTGTTATTAAATCAGCTATCGATAGTRGTACGAAGTCCTGTTATTGAGGCTTTATACACCGGGAATTTTATGCCAAAAGTACGGAACGGAAGCCGTTCTTTAACTATATTTATCGGGGGAAAAGTTTTGATTATACTCTAGAAATAAAGTCGTAAGAGTATCTTTTTAATAAATAAAATACCAGATTTATAGAGTTCTGATTGCTGTGCGAAATAAAACTAACAAAACTTGAAATAATGGTGGATATTCGCCAATATTAAAATTAGAATTCATAACTAGATTCTATTCTTATATGTCCGATTCCTTAGTGATCATCATAAGTCTATTTTCCATTCAATAAAAATAGATAAAAAAAGAAATCTAAGCTTTATATACAAATATATAAGAAGAAGTTCAGTCATAAAATTAAAGAAGCCGGTGTWTGACTGAGTATAAATAAAGTGAAAGTGTTCGAAGCGACTTCAGCTAGCCAATATATTTTATATTACATTACTACTTACTTCCATGAGTAATTCCTAAATCATCCATTCTTAGTGATRACTTTATATTCGAGTGACAAATGTGTTTTTGAATAACTATAACTTCAAGAAGTCTAGCACTCTACCAACATATACGGTATACTAAAATTGTTTATGCCAATGTGCAGGGTTATATACCAAAGATCGGCGCTTACGTCACTTGCGTTATTGCTATAGAAACATTACGTACACTGATACCACAGGAAGTCCRCATAATGACATCACTTCCAGGGCAACCTTTTCATTTTTTCTTTTCGCTCTCACTTCTCGTTCTTCATAAAATTTCAAATTTTCAAATAAATAAACCCAGGCCTCTCTCAGTGAATTGTGGTACGACTTATTCATATGACCATGAATATTAATTATGATATATTGAATTATCCAGTTTATTTACAATTTTCTTAAAACCAAAATTTCATCTTTATTTTATAGCTATATACATTTACCCAACTATATTTATAAAYATAATATTTTGTGCGATTTCTATTTTAAAAAATTTTCGATCGCTACAACTCTGCATCGCAATATATATATATTCATATTTTTGCGGAAAAAAAAAAAGTTGCGCATCAAAGAAATTTCAAGATTATTTAGCGCAGCCAAAAATAAAAGCTTTTAAAGTAGTAATAAAATTGTGTTATTAARGTTCAAAAGTTTCACAACTGTGTATCAGTGTAGCGGATCGTATTCAAGAATTCATTAACTAGTTTTTAAAATGAGAGGCTTGARACTTACAGTTTTCCAGAAAAGAGTTAATGTTGCGCCACTTTATCACGTCTTCACAACAAGTTTATTGCGTCTGTTTGCCGCGTTATACGCCAGTCAATATCAACTTGTCACATGATAGTGTTATCAGCGATTTGATTGGCTGATTGTGATGGAGCGAAAAACGTTGTAGGTTTGATCGCGTTGTTTAAAGATTCATGAATAGGTCTTGACTAACTATTAAAGATTTATTTAAATATAAGTAGATGTTTTTGAAATGAAGCGAGTTTTCAAAGCCTAAGTATTCCATATTTTTTTGTTTTTTTTTTTGTTTTTGAGCCTCGAGACTTTTAATCCAAATATTGCTTCAAGCTTCGGCCAGTTTGTACATGTCAAGGAGCGTCTGTGTCAAAGTCTTAAAATGAAAGTGATGAATAAATAACATTAATATGCCTTGCGTACTTACTTTGCTAGAAAAAATTAGAATTGAAAAACAAAACAAAAATACGCCCACAAAGTTCAATTTGCAGCTAGCTTGTTGACGTTACTTAAAATCTACAGTTTGATGTCTATACATTTCAAGCTGTCATCACACTACCGTTGGTGTAACTCCAGTGTATCATGGCCATGGCCATGGGGAGGAATCTGTGGGRGATTTTGGGAAAATAACATGGCAGTGTTGTTATCGTTCCACCACTTATCTCGTGTAGTGAGTTTTTACTAAATGCATTATAAATAGTACCGAACTCCTACTGGGTCTCACGTCAGAGGACCTATGGACACATTTAATTTGACTCTAGTTTTTTACTCGTAAATTTTTCATCTTCTTCAAAAAGAAATTGCTGTCGATTTTTTGCAAATRCTGCGGCTATTTTGACGCTCCATGGCTTTATTCATTAGCAATGTTGGCATCATACTCCTGCTGGCAGATAGCCTACAAGTTCTAGAAAGCTTAAAAATGATATAATTTCTTTGTGGTTGTATTGATATGGTTCGTATTCTCAGTATAGCTACTTGCGCTTTATGAAAATGGTTTCAAAATTGATAATAATAAGGTACAACTATTTTTTTACTTTTCTATATTTAAACTTCATGCATGGAAAGACGCTCTCTTGCCAGGTATTTTTTGACCCGGTTAAACTTTCCAACAGGTTCTTCAAGGCAGCTAGCTCAAATCACTTCTTTGGGGTATCGGTCGTGCTGTCATGCATACCATCCTATAATTTGTTTTACCACGAAGCAATCAGCGTGGTTTTCAAAGTTGTCAATTTGGGAAAAAAATCATAATTTGTTAAATCAATTTTAACAACCAAAAGTTTCTGTCGTACTGGTTCATTGTGACGCACTCAAATGGTTTCCCGTCGACAAAACGCGTGTTACAGGATTTCAAAAAATATATTGAGTTTACCAAAGAATMATAACATTAAATTTTTTGGGCCACTTTTTAAATTAAGAACATGAGGGCATTAAGCAACTGATTGATTGGATTTTATTTAAAAAAATTGRAAGTGAAGGTGAAAAAGCCTAGTGATGGAAACTTTGTAGGGTCGGAGAAAACAATGGGAAATCTTTGGGGCAGTGTTAGAAATAATGGACACAGTTAAGGAAATCTTTATTGCTTTGCCTAGTGTTACAGTAAGTGAATATCAGCTCGACCTYGACTTGTGGCTTGTCCGACTCGAAGTTTTTAGTTGCAAGACAAGCTGCATGGAAAATTGCGAAGTTAATGTCAGAACGAGCTGGTCACAGTAATTCAAACTTGTCGCAATCTTGCTTCTTGCAGGAATGCCGCAAAGGTTCATCTCCTGGTTCACGCAATTCTCGGTAATCAACGCATGTTACATTGGATCAAATACTAGTTGTTTGCAAGTTGTGTTGAAGTGAGGCGCCGCAAGAACTTGACCTTTGGGCTCTTCTTTCTCGAGTTAGCTGCTTTGCACAGGCTTGCAAAAAAAAAAAAAAAAAAAAAAAAAAAAAAAAAAAAAAANAAAAAAAAAAAGAAAAGCAGCCTTCTCGGAGAACCGAGAGTAAAACGTCATATTGATACATCATATTTTCATTTTATTGATGCAATATTTTACATGACATCACAGAAGACAGACTGATTACATTGCTAGCAAAATATAGCGATAGAACAGTGGAGAACCGTATAGAAATTGTGTATTCAAACTACAAAGACTACAATGTCAGGCGAAAATAGACTGGGCGTCTTGTGCGCAACATTTGCTTCGGGTTCTGCAAGCAGCATCAAAATATTTACTTTGCTTGGGAAAAAAATACGCGCGTCKTGGTGTGCGTCAATCAAGGCTTTTCCATGACATACTTGAAAACTTCATGTTTTCCTACAATACCATTGAAACTCTTGGATTAACGCGCACCAAAATCTTTTTTTTCCCGCGAAGACAAATCGTACTGGCAATTCCGCGAGTGCTATAAAAAAATCGCTGTTACTATTATGTGATGTCGTTGCAAAAGCGTTACGCTTCTGTCAAAGCCAAATTGGAGCTGATGTGATACAGTGAAGACCAAAATAGCTATGACGTAATGGCGCTATTCCTGGTAAAAGATTTCTTAAATATGGTCCACGATAATTTTGTAGCTACAGCCACTGGAAACACGGGCTGACAGCATAGAAGAGACACACTTGCCTCATTTGCACACAATGTTATACTTAGTAATGTTTCCTAGTTAATACCACACATCATTCCCTTGAGTATCATTTCTTTGCTTAATGGTTGCACATAAGTGATGCAACCAAAACAAATCTCATAATGTCATGTGGTCTGATAAGGAAAACCTTATTTTCAAGCTTCAAGGTCTATTTAGAATTCAAAAGTTTAAGCACTAGATATTCAAAATTCAAAACACAGAACCCAGAATTCAATTGAATACAGGATTAGTTCCAGGTCCAGGACTGAATCCAGTATCTATCAACCTTCCAGATTCCTTTAGTAGCACAATAAAAATAATTTCTTTATTAATATAGTGGCACTCATATCCACATGTCCAAGCAGTTTTACAACTTATTTCTTTCTTTATCTATACTGGTAGTAAATATAATTAATAGTGGCAGATCCAAACATTTATTAGGAAAGTGTCCCAAATGAAGAAATGAATAAAGAGATTATGTATTGTAGATAGTTTTTTTTGCTTCAAATATGTGTAAGAGTAATTACGGCATTAGAAAAGGTGYAGTACAATGTAGGACACCCCCTGGATCTCCTCCTGATTAATGTATGGAATTAGAAGCCACAGCTTCAAAGATAAGTAAGAAACAAGTAGTGCTATATGCTTTAGATTCTTTTGGAAAAAAATTGATTTGATATGTCAAATATCCATAAAATCCAGTGTGAATTGATTAGGTATTGTTTGAGCTTCACAACTGGCCATTTGCACTTGACTAACAGGGTACTCGAGCCTTCCCCAATAAATCAACCAGTTGTGTCCAAATGAACAACAGAAATGAAAAAAGCACTTCAGCATTAGTAGGAAGACAAAGTTTAAGCTTAAAATATGTGACAGAATGTGTTCATTTTGACAAGACTTTGTAATTTAAAAGGGGTAGGGTCACATGCCCTGTCAGTGCAAATGGCACTAATTATCATTATTATTTTACTTTAATAATCATTATTATTACCGTCGTTATTGCCTAAGCGTCAACACCCAACACTAAGACATGTTCTCATTGGTTGCCGAAACATTAGAAGTCGGGTTTTAGTGTCGGGTGTTGACGCTTAGGCGATAACGACGGTATTTGCATTATGATATTTATTATCATCACCACCACTATTATTATTATTATTATCATTATTATTATCAGCATTATTGGGGAGATTGATCTTTAGTACATTATTTGGTATTTTATCTAAAAAAACACAMTAATACATGACTGTCTGCCTAGAAACTCAATGGGAATGAAATTACTTATGCCAATTCTTTTAGAGAGGTATAGATATTTTCTAAATTACCTTACATGGACTCTGTGTACCGCTTTGAATTCTCTCATAAATTAAGAATAGTACAAAGGTGTTGTTTGTCTGTGTCTGTCTGGAGTCCTTTGATTCAGGCTATTATTTTCCTTGGTGATATCAATAATTTGATAATTACTGTGGCATAGGCTTTCCCTGCTGACATACAAATTTTTCCTAAAGGAGAAAATGAGATAAAACATTAGTGAAATAGGTTGGTACAAATCCATGTAGCTATTTGTTGATATTAGAGCAACCTTGCAACTAAAAAGTTTTGGGACTTCATGCAGAGCAGCAGTGCACAGTACAGTACAGTACAGCACAAGACAGGACAGCACAGTAGAGCACAGCATGAAATCGTTTGCTAAATTAAAGTCAACCAACATGATTGGTCAAAGTGACGACAATGATGGCTTTACATAAATATAACATCACTCCCAAGATTGAATATCTGTAAGATCTACTTACAATGTCACCAGTCTCTTGTATTGTTGCACTGTATGACTGCACATATTGTTCAAAGTAATCTTTTGTATAACTAAACACCTCTCTGGAATGCTTGCATATTCTTCTTCCAACACAAAAGGCAAAGACAAAATTGGTCCAGTTTTTGTCCTCTCCAACAAGGTTATCAATTGCTGTTGAAAACCTTTCATAGGTCAGGTTGGTAGCTTCTTGCTTCACCAACTGTATAAGTTGCCCTTCTGCATACTAAAATATAAAACAATATGAATAATTCTCTTAAAAGTTTGCAGAGAAAGATTAATGTTTTTCTAARATGGATGGGAACACTGATAAGATGAAGCAGTAATGTGATGTTCAACATGCTGCTTTTTGTCATGGTATTGATCCACAAACCCATCCTAAAAGAATGTGAGTAAATTTGTGTCACAGTATATTAAGGGAGGGATTCTTCTGTTTCATAATTCTTAATCTTCAACCATTTGCCATGGCAGCCATCTTCTGGGTTGCTTGTTTGTTCTTCTTGTGAACAACAGCTTTTATTTTTCATGAATAGATAAAATTTTCTTTCATTATTGGACAGCAGACCCTGAAAAATGACTAGAGAAATTGGAAAAGAAAAACACTTCCATTGTGCTGCGTGCCAATATAAACCATTTGAGAATTGTTTTATAATCATACAACATACATGTGCCGMTTTTTAATTTTTTGTACAAAAATGTGATGATTAATCCCCCTATTCTGTTTTTTTTTTTAACTTGTAGCTTTAATTTACAGTACCTGAACGTTAGATCCATACTGTATGACCAGTGCATCGCCTGCCTTTGCTAGCTCACAAGCAAGTGTTTTCATCTTGTTGTCCTTTTTAGTTTCTTCTGTTTCGTCTTGTTCAACTGGAAGCCTCACAGGTTTCGGCATTTGGTTAGGTGCCGGCAGTTCCAAAGGTCCCATTGAATCAGGAACAACATCATCATCAAGAGAAGATGAACAGTGGACAATCCCTTAAAATTAACACAGAAAACAATAAGATCAACAACAGTTCCAACAACTAATTCAGTCTAAACCTGCAAATCACAATCTATCACAAATCCCTTGCTCCGATTGGCTGAACTACTTGTAGTCCATAATTGATAGACTGCCARTAGCAAGAAAGCCAATTTTGAAAACCAAAAAAATGACAGCTTATAACTTGTGTTTTCATCCAATTAATTTTGATCCATTAATAGGTTTACACTTAAGGTGGCTGGACCCCCTCACGCTTGACCGCTACCTTCCACTTTTGGAAGGCTAGTGCATAAACATCTTTTATCCGATTGCAAATCTTTTTTGCACATAAGTCACATAAAGATTGAATTAA